TATCCGGTCTCTCCGCATCTTCTCGATGACCGGTTTCCGGATCTAAAGTGGTGGAAAACAGAACATTAAGCTCATTGGACAGCCATGTTGGAGGTTGGCGGACTACATGTCCCAGTCCGCCCTGGTGAGGTCCGGCTGGCCCGTACCTTATTTTTCCTGAGCTGGACCTTACCGGCCTCCTGGACAATATGGAAGCTGGACGCCATGTTGTTCTTGGAGTGAGGTCTCTGGTGTGTGGTGGTGGAGAATGGAAGGCCAGCTCAGCCCTGAACTGTATTTATACCCCGTTGGCCAACGTTGTCAGACGACTCTCATTACATGGACAGTTTCCCACACTTGAAAACCAATGAAGTGAACAATGCAGATAATGGAAGTGTGCCTGTGAGGGCCGACCTTGGCTGGAGGAGGGGGGGGGTTCAGGCCTTCCCTCCCCAGCAGGTGGACCGGGCGGGCGTAGCTCAATTGTAACTTGACACAAATGAGACACTTCACCGTGGGAAAGCTCCAATCTCAGAGAAACCAGAGCGACGGCTGATTCTGGAGGCTGATTACATTCCTGCGGCACCTGTTCTCTGAATTTACAGTACACAAGGCGTACAGTGCGCAAATATACACCATTTGAACCCCGATGGGGAGCCCAAGAAGCTTGACAATAGGCCATTGTCTCTGGCTGGGCTGTAAAAGGTCTTCAAAGAGAACCGGTCATAACTGGGATATGTTAACCCCTCGCCTACCGGACACTTCTACCCCCTTCCTGCCTACAGGACACTTCTACCCCCTTCCTGCCTACTGGGAACTTATACCCCTTCCTGCCTACCGGGCACTTCTACCCCCTCCCTGCCTACAGGGCACTTCTACCCCCTTCCTGCCTACTGGGCACTTCTACCCCCTTCCTGCCTACAGGACACTTCTACCCCCTTCCTGCCTACAGGTCACTTATACCCCCTTCCTGCCTACCGGGCACTTCTACCCCCTTCCTGCCTACAGGGCACTTCTACCCCCTTCCTGCCTACAGGGCACTTCTACCCCCTTCCTGCCTACCGGGCACTTCTACCCCCTTCCTGCCTACCGGGCACTTCTACCCCCTTCCTGCCTACAGGGCACTTCTACCCCCTTCCTGCCTACCGGGCACTTCTACCCCCTTCCTGCCTACAGGACACTTCTACCCCCTTCCTGCCTACAGGGCACTTCTACCCCCTTCCTGCCTACCGGGCACTTCTACCCCCTTCCTGCCTACAGGGCACTTCTACCCCCTTCCTGCCTACCGGGCACTTCTACCCCCTTCCTGCCTACAGGACACTTCTACCCCCTTCCTGCCTACAGGACACTTCTACCCCCTTCCTGCCTACAGGGCACTTCTACCCCCTTCCTGCCTACAGGGCACTTCTACCCCCTTCCTGCCTACAGGACACTTCTACCCCCTTCCTGCCTACAGGGCACTTCTACCCCCTTCCTGCCTACCGGGCACTTTCCCCCCCCTTCCTGCCCACCGGGCACTTTCCCCCCCTTCCTGCCCACCGGGCACTTTCCCCCCCTTCCTGCCTACCGGGCACTTCTACCCCCTTCCTGCCTACCGGGCACTTTCCCCCCCTTCCTGCCCAGGCCAATTTTCAGCTCTCAGCGCTGTCACACTTTGAATGACAATTGCGCGGTCATGCAACACTGTACCCATATGAAATTTTTATCATTTTTTTGTGACAGATAGAGCTTTATTTTCGTGGTATTTAATCACCTCGGGGTTTTTTATTTTTTGCGAAACAACCCAAAAACAACTGAAAAAAATTGTGAAAAAAAAAAAAGTTTTTTCTTAGTTTTTGTTATAAAATTTTGTAAATAAGTGATTTTTCTCCTTCACTGATGTGTGCTAATGAGGCTGCAGTGATGGGCACTGATAGGCTGCACTGATGAGGAGGCACTGGTAGGTGGCACTGATGGGCATTGACAGGCATCACTGATGGGCACTGAAAGGCAGCACTGATAGGTGGCACTGATAGGCGACACTGACTGGCACTGTTAGGCGGCACTGCTAGGCAGCATTGATGGGCACTGATAGGTGGCACTGATGCACACTGATAAGCGGCACTGCTGGCACTGATAGACGGCACTGACTGGCACTGATAGGCGGCACTGAAACGGCACTGATAGGCGGCACTGATGCGCACTGATAGGCAGCACTGACTGGCACTGATAGGTGGCACTGACTGGCAGCACTGATAGGTGGCACTGACTGGCACTGATAGGTGGCACTGACTGGCATTGCTAGGTGGCACTGACTGACACTGATAGGTGGCACTGAAAGGCAGCTCAGATGGGCACTGATATGTGGCATTGATGTGGCAGTGATGGGCACTGGCAGGTGGCATTGAGCACTGACAGCTGGCATTGATGGACACTGACAGGTGGCACTGTTGGGCTACACTGATCATCAGGGCACACTAATCATCAGTGCTCTGATGATCAGTGTAGATGTCCCCTCCGAGGAATGCCAATTACCGGCTCTCCGCTCTTCTCCTCTGTCAGCGTGACACCACCAAGTCTGTTTGTAAGGACGGCACCGAGTCTTCTAGGCATGGAATGGACAAGTTGGCGACATATTGCAACATCGATCTTTTTCCATTCTTCAAGAACGACCTTTTTCAGAGCCTGGATGCTGGATGGAGAGTGTTGCTTAACTTCAGAATTCCCCCCATAGGTGTTGGATTGGGTTCAGTTCAGGCGGCCACTGAATCCCTTTCCCCCGTTCTTCTTCAGAAATGCAACATTGTCCTTAGATGTGCGTTGTGGATCATTGTTATGGTGGAAAGGTGCACGATGACTGAGGACACGGAGTGATGGGAACATCTTCTCTTTCAATATAGAGCAGAACATCTGTAAATTCATGATACCATCAATGAAATGCAGCTTCCCGACACCAGCAGCACTCATGCAGCCCTACAGAAGGACACAGCCACCACCATGTTTCACGGTAGGCACCATGCATTTTTCTTTGTACTCCTCACGTTTGCGATGCCATACAGTTTTCAGTTCCAAAAACATATATCTTGCTCCCATCATTCAGAGTACAGAGTCCCAGTAGTCTTCTTCTTTTTCAGCATGGGTCCTGGCAAATTCTAGGCTTGCTTTTTTGTGCGTGGGCTTTAGAAGAGGCTTCCTTTGTGGACAACACCCATGCATGCCATTCCTCTGCAGTGTACGCCGTATTGTGTCACTGGAAACACTCACCCCCCAGTTTGGTTTTCTACTTTAGCTAACTGCAGTGAACATGCATGCCGATTTTCATCAACCCTTCTCATCATCAGAAGACGCTCCTGTCGAGGTGTTAACTTCCATGGGCGGCCTGGACGTTTCTGTGTGAGATGGTTGCAGTTCCATCTTTGTTAAATATTTGTATCACTTTTGCTCCAGTATTCTGACTGATAAGTAAATCTTCTTGTAGCCTTCACCTTCCTTGTGTAAAGAAGTGATTTTCTTTCTCAGGCCTTGTGACATTTCTCTTCCATGTGGCGCCATTGCTGACCATTACACCAGAGGTCTTCCATCACATGAGAGGTCCCCCTATCACATCAGAGCCCCCCTCCATAATATCATAGGTCCCCATTACATCAGAGGACCCCGAATACATCAAAGGACCCCCCCATTACACCAGAGGTCTTCCATCACATGAGAGATCCCCCTATCACATCAGAGCCCCCCTCCATAATATCATAGGTCCCCATTACATCAGAGGACCCCCAATACATCAAAGGACCCCCCCATTACACCAGATGTCTTCCATCACATGAGAGGTCCCCCTATCACATCAGAGCCTCCCCTCCATAACATCATAGGTCCCCATTACATCAGAGGACCCCCAATACATCAAAGGACCCCCCCATTACACCAGAGGTCTTCCATCACATGAGAGATCCCCCTATCACATCAGAGCCCCCCCATAATATCATAGGTCCCCATTACATCAGAGGACCCCCAATACATCAAAGGACCCCCCCATTACACCAGAGGTCTTCCATCACATGAGAGGTCCCCCTATCACATCAGAGCCCCCCTCCATAATATCATAGGTCCCCATTACATCAGAGGACCCCCAATACATCAAAGGACCCCCCCCATTACACCAGAGGTCTTCCATCACATGAGAAGTCCCCCTATCACATCAGAGCCCCCCCTCTCCATAATATCAGAGGACCCCCAATACATCAAAGGACCCCCCCATTACACCAGAGGTCTTCCATCACATGAGAGGTCCCCCTATCACATCAGAGCCCCCCTCTATAATATCATAGGTCCCCATTACATCAGAGGACCCCCAATACATCAAAGGACCCCCCCATTACACCAGAGGTCTTCCATCACATAAGAGGTCCCCCTATCAAATCAGAGCCCCCCATAACATCATAGGTCCCCCATAACATCATAGGTCCCCCATTACATCAGAGGACCCCCAATACATCAGAGGACCCCCAATACATCATAGGACCCCTCCGCCCCATTACACCAGAGGTCTTCCATCACATGAGAGGTCTCCCTATCAAATCAGAGCCCCCCATACATAATAGGTCCCCCTTTACATCAGAGGACCCCCAATACATCAGAGGACCCCCATTACACCAGTGGTCTTCCATCACATGAGAGGTTCCCCTATCACATCAGAGCCCCCCATAATATCATAGGTCCCCATTTCATCAGAGGACCCCCAATACATCAGACGACCCCCCATTACACCAGAGGTGTTCCATCACATGAGAGGTCCCCCTATCAAATCAGAGCCCCCCCATAACATCATAGGTCCCTCATTACATCAAAGGACCCCCCCCCCATTACACCAGAGGTCTTCCATCACATGAGAGGTCCCCCTATCACATCAGAGCCCCCCTCCATAATATCATAGGTCCCCATTACATCAGAGGACCCCCAATACATCAAAGGAACCCCCCCCCATTACACCAGAGGTCTTCCATCACATGAGAGGTCCCCCTATCACATCAGAGCCCCCCCTCTATAATATCATAGGTCCCCATTACATCAGAGGACCCCCAATACATCAAAGGACCCCCCCATTACACCAGAGGTCTTCCATCACATGAGAGGTCCCCCTATCAAATCAGAGCCCCCCCATAACATCATAGGTCCCCCATAACATCATAGGTCCATCATTACATCAGAGGACCCCCAATACATCATAGGACCCCCCGCCCCATTCCACCAGAGGTCTTCCATCACATGAGAGCTCTCCCTATCAAATCAGAGCCCCCCATACATAATAGGTCCCCCTTTACATCAGAGGACCCCCAATACATCAGAGGACCCCCATTACACCAGTGGTCTTCCATCACATGAGAGGTCCCCCTATCACTTCAGAGCCCCCCCATAATATCATAGGTCCCCATTACATCAGAGGACCCCCAATACATCAGAGGACCCCCCATTACACCAGAGGTCTTCCATCACATGAGAGGTCCCTCTATCAAATCAAAGCCCCCCCATAACATCATAGGTACCCAATTACATCAGAGGACCCCAATATATCAGAGGACCCCTCCCCCATTACACCAGAGGTTTTCCAGCATATGAGAGGCCCCCCTATCACATCAGAGCCCCCCTCCATAATATCAGAGGATCCCCAATACATCAGAGGATCCCCCCATTACACCAGAGGTCTTCCATCACATGAAAGGTCCCCCTATCAAATCAGAGCCCCCTCCATAACATCAGAGGTCCCCATTACATCAGAGGACCCCCACCATTACACCAGAGGTCTTCCATCACATGAGAGGTCCCCCCATCACATCAGAGCCCCCCCCCCCCCCATTATATCAGAGATTGCGCCACCACATTAGAGTCCCTAAACATGTCAGTAGTCCTCCCATCACATCAAAGGTTTCTCCAATTTCCCCATCACAGTAGAATCCCAGAATCACACAAGAACCCCCCCCCCCCCCCCCCCCCCGATAGATGAAAATCCCCATTGCATCGAAGTTGCTCCTATACATAAGAGGCTCCCTAAACTGAAGCCTCTCCATCATCACATCAGAGTCTCCCTATTGCTACAGAGATACCTGTTGTCAGCTGCCCAGCGTCATTGGTTGTAGGACACTCGTCTACACAGCTGACGCCATCCTAGCATCCAGTCCTCCTGCACACGGGACGTTTTTACAGCGGCTGTTTTTGGCTTTTGGCATTTTTTTCTATAGCCAGTAAACCCCCCAGCATGTAATTCCTATGTGTCCATCCCCCCCATGTTATCCTATGTGTCCATACACACAGACTGGAATCAGTGTTTTTTGGCTGAAAAACCCAGAACTAGCAGGTTAGCTGTAAAAAAGCTCTAAGGCTGTAAAACATGGCAAACCAGCGTTTTCGAGCATGTTTTTTTTTTAGCCCAAATTTTTTTTTTTTTCTTGTGTAAAACAAAAGCTAAAAAATGCGTCCAAACGCTAATGCAAAAATGTTGCTGGGATCTGACTCCCTTTCAGAGGGTGGCAACCTTTGTTCCCCATGGTCCCACTGTATGTAGGAACGTAGCCTCCCTCACTTGCTTGCCCCTAGGTACTATGGGCTAGGTACAATGTACCAAGGATAAGGTGCTAGGGACTATGGATCAAGGACTAGATACTAGGGATTATGGATCAAGGACTAGGTACTAGGGACTATGGATCAAGGACTAGGGACTATGGATCAAGGACTAGGTACTAGGGACTATGGATCAAGGACTAGGTACTAGGGACTATGGATCAAGGACTAGGTACTAGGGACTATGGATCAAGGACTAGGTACTAGAGACTATGGATCAAGGACTAGGTACTAGGGACTATGGATCAAGGACTAGGTACTAGGGATTATGGATCAAGGACTAGATGCTAGCTGGTTATGGCCTAGGTACTATGAACTAGGTGCTAGGGACAATGGATCAACGAATAGGTGCTAGGGGTTATGGCTTAGGTACTATGAGCTAGGTACTAGGGACTATGAATCAAGGACTAGGTGCTAGGGACTATGACCTAGGTACTATGAATTAGGTACTATGGACAATGGACTAGGGGTTATGCATCAAAAACTAGGTGCTAGGGACTATGCAACAAGGACTAAGTACTATAGGCAATGGCCTAGGTACTATGGACTAGATACTATGAACTAGGGACAATGGACTAGGGGCTATGCATCAAGAACTAGGTGCTAGGGACTATGCAACAAGGACTAGGTGCTAGAGGCTATGGCCTTGGTACTATGAACTAGGTGCTAAGTACTATGGATCAAAGACTAGGTGCTAGGGCCTATGTCTTAGGTACTATGAACTAGGTACTAGGGACAATGGACTATGGATCAAGGACTAAGTGCTAGGGATTATGGCCTAGGTACTATGGACTAGGTACTATGAACTAGGGAGTATGGATCAAGGACTTGGTGCTAGCGACTAGGGACTAGATACTATGGACTAAAGACTAGGTGCTAGAGACTATGGCCTAGAAACTATGTAATATGTACTATAGACCAAGGACTAGG